TGGAGTGAGCAGAAATAGAGACTTTGTTCACTGAGACACAACAACTTTTATTTTTCTGTTTGTCTCAACTCTCCATGGAGCTCTGCCATATCTGCTGGTAGCTGCTTCCTCCTGAAGGAGATCCTGTTGTTCTGATGGTTCTCCTCATCGTTCTCCATCATGTCAGCCATGTTGCTCTCCTTCTGCTCCCTGGGAAAAGTAATCAGATGTTATAGCTTATAGCACATAAATGTAGATAAATAACAGTTACTAATGTGGAAGTTACATACACATAAGGAATTATTTAAAACAGACATGTTACTTTATGGAAACACTTTTTTTTTTACCATCCAACCATACAGAATTATAAATAACTGGAATAGTGTAAATTAAAGACAAAATGTAATTACTTGTAAGTTTTAGACCTATGCATGCATACAGCCATGGATAAAATACCACTAGTTTTCTTCAGGTTTATTGCTCATTCTACAATTACTAATTCATAATTTGATTAGAGAACTGATATCTAGCCATTTTACAATAATAGGATGTCATATAATATGTTTTATTATCTCGCAACAGGGGAAACTCAGATGCAACAGCAAAATGAGAAACAATCGAAGCACGTAGATTCACGCAAAGATAAGAAACAAGCGAAGGTAAAATGCTGTACAATATTGAGTTATTTATAACTGTAATGTGCAACCGAGTGTCTTCAGAAAATGCGCATGTTGTGTTTGAGCAATAAAAATACAGCAGACTTTGTGTTTTAAATGTCTTCCATGACTGTATGTATGCAACCTTAAATGTAGTACAAACCAGACAGATATATCTACAAACTTCTCACCTGGCTGGAGAGCAGCAGCGGCGTCAGCTGCGTCTGCGTCGGTGTTCACCGTGGGGCTCCGTCGGCTCCGAAGCGGCTAACGAGGCTTTACATTCGCTCCACTACTGACAAAAACGACTCATTCCTCACGGCTCCATCGAGCTGCCGCTGAATATTGAAATCCGAAGCAAAGAAAAAAGCCGGCATCTTTTTTTAGTTAACGGCTTGTTTGTATCTTCCATCACTTCCGTGTTGCAGCGAGTTTCAAACGTTGCGCCTTCATTTTTCTTCTCTCTCCGCTGCTCCGTCTTGTCCACGCCCTCAGCCAATCAGTGAACAGCAGCGAAGCTTGCGTCACCTACCAAACCAGGGCCGGCCCGGCTGGCCCTGCTCTGAAGCAGGACCCTAAAAAGCAGGGCCAGCCCCGTTGAAAAGGGCTGGTGGAAACGCATTTAAAGCGAGCCGAGCCGGCCGAGTAGAGCCGGTGGAAAAGGGGCATAA